GATAGAAATAGATACTCATAATATACTATGGCTACACAGAAGATTAATTAAGAGCAAAAGATTCCTAAGTCATTCCTTATTTACTAAGTCTTTTGTACACCCAAGTATATATACTCTCATATATTGCATAACTAACTCTGTATCTATGATCAGGAACATTGCTAAGGAAGATCAAGATCAGAGCTTGTCTCCCTTCGCAACCGGGTTCTACTTGCTCTATAAATGGGGAGAGGATTATAAAAGACTCAACGGGAGTGTCACATCCACGATCTACCACATGACCCAGAGTGTAGAATGCATCAGCAGGTAAACAATATTTAAGCACCACGCTTACATAATGTCGACCACTTAACCTACTCGAGTATTGAGCTAAGCGCTTTGCAAACATATGCATATATTCATCATAAATCATGACTATATCAAGCATACAACTAGAGCAAACTAGGAACATAATAAATAGCAACATAATATTGAAGTAGCATAAAGTCATAAATATAGAGATACAATGGCTACACTAGTCTCCAGACGGCAGATCCGGAATCCTGAGCAATAGCCAACACTCAATTTGAACCTTGCTAGCTAGCCTATACTAGAATTTTGAAGAATTAGAGCTGTATTCTCTTCTCTCTGAAAACCCTAATTTTTGGTCTACTCTTGACTTATGTAATGCAGATCTCTTAAAGGAGGGGGTAGGGGCTGGTATATATAAGCCGGAGCGTCAATTTTGAGCCATCGGATCAAATTGACTTGAATAAATGGTGGAGATGCAATCCTTAAGGCGGTGGAGAACCAACTTTCTTAAGAGGGGCTGACAGGTGGGCCCTAGAGCCGGTTGACCTGCAGATGGGGCTAGCCTGGCAGTGCCTCAGTCTCCACTTTGGTGTGGTGTCTTCTCGAATCATCTGGAACCTTCTGGGGTAGTTTTCGCTGCGGATTAGCGTGATTTACTTTGACGATTTGATCCTCCTTGATAGTTTTCTAGATAAACCCTGCTGAAAACACAGATTCACCAAAACTCGTGGAAATTGTCAGTTTAAACCCCTAAGTCTATGTTGGTGTTCATTTTCATGCATGATTTCAAGTTATTTTGACGGGTCTTGATAGATGATAACTACCGTCAGCAATCTATCCTCAATTAGCAATCAGAAAAAGACCTTATGTTTTGGCTGACAGTTACTTTTCCTAAGCCATTTATATGTTGGATGAATGTCAGAGTGCCCTACCAAAAATTTATAGACCTTGGCAGAAGCCAAGATGCTAGAACCCCAGCTATAAATCCACTTACCATTCTCATCATTCAGTGTAGATGCATCAATCAGACTCTGAACATTCTGCATCTGCTCAAAAGCAATCTAAGAGAGGGGTAGCTGAAATAGGTCTGTCAGGTCATCCTGATTGAAAGCCCCTTTACTATAATAAGCTTGTTAACAGCAAAAATGAAGTGCTCAGGCATTCAGAGGGTCAGGGGCTGATTGGCCCATCTATCATGCCAGAAGAGAGAGGTTTCTCCATTATGAATTTGAGGCATAGCAATGTTCTTAAAGTCAGGAAGGAGTTTTAGGTTGTCTCTCCACCAAAAAGACCCTTTTCTTATGTGAATTGGTAGCTTTCCATTTCTGTAATGCTTTTCCCATACCAACTTTACCCAAGGGAGGTCTAATCTGTTAAAAAACTTGTGGAGATCCTTTGTTAACAGGGCCTTGTTCTGCTTTTCAATGTCAAGCACACCTAACCCACCTTCATCTTTTGGCACACATACCATTTTCCATGCAGCTTTTGGTGGCTTTTTTGCATTGATATCAGAATCTCTCCATAAGCAGTGTTTCCTGTATTTGTCAATTTCCTTAATGATACTTTTTGGTAGAACAAGAGAACACATAAAGAATGTTGGCAGGGCAGTGAGCACAGCATTAGTAATTTGCAATCTCCCAGCTTGGTTCAGAAAAGAAGAGATCCCAGTCAATCTTGTTTCACATTTAGTTACAAGGGGCAGAAAATCATGAGCTATTGGCCTGTCAATGCTTAATGGGAGACCAAGGTAAGTGAATGGAAGGCTTCCTTTTGAGCATCCAAAGGTCCCAGCCAGGATGTCAAGCTTTTCTTCTAACACATTGATGGGGACCATCATTGACTTATTGAAATTGATCTTGAGCCCAGTGGAAAGGGAGAAACTGTTCAGTAAGGATTTTAAGAAAAAAAAGCTGATTGACATCACCTTCAGCCACAATCAATGTGTCATCAGCATACTGAATAACAGGAAAATCATTTGTTGATGTGGTTGGAATTGGAAGTCTGAGCAACCCCATATCTTTGGCCTTGTTGATCATGGACTATAAGAAGTCTGCTGCTAGTACAAAGAGTAGGGGAGAGAGTGGATCACCTTGTCTAACACCCCTCCTGAGTGGAAAGTCTTTCTAGGTACTCCATTCAGAAGAACAGCTGATGTTCTAGAGGAAAAGATGGTCTGCATCAAATCCAGCCACCTTTGCCCAAAACCTTTTGCTTCCATGAGGGTGAGCATAGCTTGATGTTCAATCTTGTCAAAGGCCTTCTCAAAATCAAGCTTAATGATTACTATCTCTTTTTTGAATGATGACAAAGATGGAGGTACTCAAAGGACCAAGCCAAGCAGTCTTGAATTGTCCTGCTCTTGATGAAGCCATACTGGTTTGTATGAATTAATGAGGTTATGACAGGCTGCAATCTATTGGCAAGAATTTTGGTGATCAGCTTCACTGAGGAATTTAACAGTGAGATGGCCTGAAATCATTAATAGCCCTAGATCCATCAGTCTTGGGTTTGAGGGTAATGTAGGAAAAATTAATACTCCTTAGACAAACTGAGTTTTCAAAGAAATCATTACATAGATCATAGAAATCTTGCTTAAAGACTGGCCAACATTTCTTCAGAAACTCATTATTAAATCCATTCGGCCCTGGGGATTTATCATTTGGCAGAGCCTTTATGACATTGTCAATCTCACTTTGAGTGAAAGGTTCCTCTAGCAGGTTTAGATTATCCATACTCTGGATAAAAAACCTGGATCCACTACAAAGCCATTGAACTCATATGTGCCAAGCCTAACCTTGAAATCTTCCCATAAAACTTGTTCTTTCTCTCTGTGATCACTGACCATTGTCCCCTCACTGTTTATGAGCTCACTAATTAGGTTTATTCTATGCCTGATGGTTGCATTAGCATGGAAAAACCTTGTCCCAGCATCTCCCAGTTTTGCCCATTTAATTGTTCCCCTTTTTTCCAGTATATCCTCTGTTGCTCCAGTAGTTCTAGCAGATGGTTCTTTAGACTTTCTTTAAAATTCCACTCTTCAATACTTAAGTCTCTGTATTCCCCTAGAACTTCAATGAATTGCAGAACTATTCTACTATTTGTGATGAGAGTTTTCAAACCTGTTTTTGCTGCATGCCAATCTTTCAATTTACTTCTCAAGGACTTAAACTTTGTTGTTAATGATTTAGCCCTGTCAGAGTGATGGTTAGGGGTGGCCCAACATTCAGCAACAATTTCAGGAAATTAATCCCTCATCAGCCAAAAATTTTAAAACCTGAAGACCTTACTTCTTGGGATCACAGTGGAAATAGAGATGATACAAGGAGTGTGATCAGATGGTGCCATATCTAGAGCCTTAACAGAGGTGTTTGGATAGGAGAGTGTCCAACTGCTAGATGTGAAAACCCAGTCCAATTTTTCCAGCAAAGGGAAAGGCTGCATATTTGACCAAGTATATTTCCTTCCTTGTAAGACAATTTCATTTAATCCCAACAGACTGATTGCTTCATTAAATAATAGCATTTCAGGAGGATTTCCTCCTGGCTAGTTTCTGTCTTCCTGTCTTATTAAATTAAAATCCCCTAAGATGAGCCAATCAACATTATCAGGCATTTGAATTTCTTTCAACCAGTTAAGAAATAAAACCTTGCCTTCAGCAGTACAGGGGCCATATACACATGTTAACACCCAATAAGCATCATTATGGGTAGAAGTGAATTCCATGGACAAACAGTAATCATTACTGAAAATCTTGTTACTAGAAAAGAGTGAGCCATTCCAGGCCACAAGAATGCCCCTAGATGCCCCATTAGAGGGGAGAAACTCAAAAGCATCCAAACTATTTGGACAGATATGTTTCAGAAACTGAGAATCAAAAACATCTTTCTTTGTCTCCTGCAAACAGACAATATCACAAGAGGATTGCATGATCTTGTCCTTAACTGCATTCCACTTCCAACTGGCATTAATGCCTCTAGCATTCCAAGAAAGGACATTCCAATTTCTATAATTGTTCGAATTCATGATTAAACTAATGATAACTGACTAAAGTGACCACAAGCACAGCAAGGTTCACATCTTAACTCTGACATTAAGTCAACAGAGTTACAAAAGCAATCAGACAAACTACTAATTTTGAAAAGCTATAAGGGCCAGTCCCTTCAGCAATCTCCTTTGGGCTTCTTGCCATCTCCCATCCCTTTCCCCCTGCCATCAGACTCCTCTTGGTTGTCCTTTTCTTCAGAGCTTGCTCCTTGTCCTTGGGTCCTGTTACCTTCTTCTTCTTGGAACAGGTTGATTCTTCTTCCCCTTTTTGAGGACAACATCCTCCAGTAGCTCAGGGTTCATCTCACAAAACCGCGTGACCAAATTTCTGATCAGTTTGGAGGACAATGTTGGGGGTGAAGGGAAACATGCTAAGCATTTCTTATCAGAACAAATTGAGGGTTTGGACCCATTGTACATAGTTTTAAGTCTTGGGCTTCTTCTTACCTCACTTTCGACCACTAGAGCCCTTTTCCTACTTAAGTGTTTTTTTGCTGAAGCCTGCTGCTCCACAATGTCACTGGTTTCCTCCTGAACCTCTTCTAATATCAAGCTAGCCATCTTGCCTTTTTCTGTATTATAAGAGGAAGAGGATGAGCAGGGGAGGCCCTTGCTAGTGGGACAAACTTTGGGTAAAGAATAATGAACTTAGCCTCCCATACCTTTCAGACAGAGTGTAGCCTTGGAGACAGGAACTCCTTGGCCCAGTAGAAGTTTTCTAGTGACATGAGCATAACAGTAAAGAAATTGGCCCACTCAGTTGGGATGCTGACATGAATAGAATTTGGGTTACCTAGACTGAAATAAGTAGCCCAAATCCTAGTAGCTTCAGTAGTTTTCCTCCTTTCCCAGTCAGCAAAGGCAAGATCTAGCCCATCTTGCTGAATTAGCACCATTCCTACATTGAGCTGAATGTTCCCATTTCCTGGCCCATGCTGGTCTGGCCCTGCATCTTGATCATCTTGGCCCTCCATCAAATCTTCAGGGAGGTTAACCTCATTGAAATCCACAAGCTGATCTAGAGGAATTTCCTCATCAATGAGATTCACATGGTTTACAGGTAAGAAGGGGACCTACATCTGCATCTCATCTGCTAGGTTCATTAAATTTTGCTCATCGGGTGCCAGCTCAGGAATATTTTGAGCTAGGATGATCTCTTCAACCATGTTATTCCCTTCCATCAAATCATTCAGCTCTAAGAAATCTCCCTGAGGTGGCTGCACTGGGTTCAGAATGACTTCTTGGGGATTGTCTTCTTGCTGCTGATCAGGGAGATTTAGGTCAATCTCCATTAACTGCTAAAGTTCAAAATTTAGGTCCTGGGCCACCATCGGCTGTCCAAAGTTCTGTTGTTGTTGCTGTGGCTGAGGCCATGGGTCTCAGTTGTCATTCTCAGGCTCCTAATTCTGCTGGTCCTGCTGATCTTGCTGCTGTTCCTGATCCTTGTCCTGCAGTTGTGGTCCAGCACCAGGCTGCCCCAGCCCAAAAAAGGCAAAGGGAGCACCATCCCCAATTGGAAGTTTAGGGACTGGGTCCTCATCCTGAGGGCCGCCACCAAGAAGATTATGCTGTAGGATTTCACACTGCATAGTCCAAGAATCGCTTTTGAACCCCTCAGACTCAGAGAAAACTATGAAATGCGGTATAGACTGCAGGTCAATCACACGTGCCCTTATGATCACTCTAGTCAACCTCCTCTCTTCCTCTTGCCAATACAGAAATTTACCAAAAGAGCCAATAGCATCCTGATAGTACTGCTTCTCTTGGTAATCAGGGGGAAAGCCCATCAACATGATCCAGCATTCAGTATTGAAATGAACCCTACTCCAATTTCTTCCCTCATTGTGCTTGACACAGTTGAGGGAAACATTATCAAAAGGGATTGGGCCCTGCTGGATAAGCACATCTCTGTCTAAAGCTCTATCAAAACGCAAATAGGCATGACCCAAGCAACATGGCTGAATGTCCGTGATCACTATCCTTCTACCATGAAAGAACTCCCTCAAGACCTCATCAGCAATGATGAAATCAAGGATATTACCTGGCAGCGGCGCGGTGGTAACGATGGCGAGGTCCTCATTCTTCTTGGCTGCCTTTCTTGAAGCCACCGTGTAACACCCTAAAATATCAACTGCAAATTAGTAATTAAATTGAACATTTATTTGATTTTCTATGCATTTTAACATATGCCAAATAATAAATTTTGGTTAATTAAAATTAACTATAAAGTTTAAAAACATGTTTGTTGCATTCATGCTGAAGCATGTTTTTGGTTGAGTGTAGGGCAAGGTTGTTTGAGGATTGAATTCAAATTTCATTTGAATTTGATCAATTTTCAAATCTATAGAAATACAAAAGGATTTTCTTTTAAAAACTTCCTTCTTTCTACTATCTTGCCCAACTCTAGAATCGGCCCAGCCTCCTTCGCGCACTGGCCCAGTAGCCTTGGCCTGCTGGCGGCCCAGCTCGCGCCTCCCCCCCTTCCCTTCCTCGCGCATGTGGCCCGCTCCGCGCCTTGGCTTCGCTCGCACGCGCGCACACCCATAGCCCACTACCACAGCCCGCATCGGCCTGCTACCGCACCCACGCCGTGCGCTCCACTCTCTTCCTCTCACTACGACGTGGGACCCGCCCGTCAGCCGCCCACGCTCCTTTCCTTTCTTCACCGCCCGGTGATGGCGCTGCAGTCGACGGCAACATGCCGCCGCGCCTGCGCCCGCATAGGGGCTCGCCAATCCGTGATTCACAGTCCACGTGGTTGTTTTCTTTCTACCACAGTGCCCTCTCCCCTGTAAAGCCCATAGCCGAGCCCTCCCTCTCTCCCTTCCTTTCGCCACAACCGAGCTCGCACTGCCGCCGTCGTCCGCTTGCTCCGGTGCCCAATCAACGCCTCCGACACACCCCAAAGCTTCGCCATCACTCACCGCGACCGTAGGTGCCCTTATTCCTTCGTTTTGGCCTCGGATTGCACGAGATTACTCTAACCTGCGACCCTTTTCTCTCTCTAGTTCGCCGCCGCCATCGACCTAGTTCCCTGGAGCTCTCCCGGACGCCACGACCACTTCCATCGAACTCACGGTGAGACGCTTGACCTACCCGTGCTCTCCGTTCGGTAGATGATGCCCTGGAACGTCGTATCAGCGAGTTCCAGTCACACCGGCCATGGCGCCGCCGCGGGACCGTCGCCTTAACGTGTTCCCCGCCCTAGGTTTGCACTTCGTTGAGTTCGCGTGAGCCGGTGCTTCATTTCCGTGGGTTTGGTTTCGATTGGGATGGTCTGAAATGTTGTACCAGCGTTTGCCATGGTGCTCAGCTCGCCGCCGGCCATGGTGGGCTCGCCGGAGACGCTGTGAAGCCAGTGGGGGATCTCCCATTCGTTCCTCGCCGTTGGATCTACGCGGACGGCTCTGATTAGAGCATACCCCTTGGGGTCTTAACCGGTCCACCGTGGACCCGTGGCCATCCAGTCAGCCGGCAACGCGGTCAACTACGACCTGCCAGGCGATTTTGCAGAGTAGCCCCTCGGTTTCCAGTGAATCAACCCGCGGTCTAGTCCAGTTCAAAGGAGCTAATTTTCAGTCCTATTTTTATTTGTTTTAGCCCCTGTAGTTTTTGGAAATAGTGCAGGCCATCCATAATACGTTTAAATTCAGATTTTAATTGTTTTAATTCAAAAATAAGTTCGGTTTATTTATAGAAATGCCATTGGAACCTTATTTCATGCATAACTTTTGTGTTTTAAGTCCGATTTGAGTGATTCTTTCGCTCACGTGTTCATAGCAGTACGTAGATTAGTTTTATAAGCTTTTCAGTCTATGTTTCTACTATTTGGTATACTGTTCTAATAGAAGTCTATTTGTATGCATGTAATGATTGGAATGGATGCTTGATTGGTGAATTGGAACACCTTCTGAGGGTGAGCAGTTCGTGGTGACTAAGGATCAGCAGGAAGATCAGCAGTACCAGGAAGAGAACTTTGAGGAAGGCAAGTGTAGCAAAGGCCCCTTGTACCTATGAACTTTACAATTCATATTCATGCATGTGTCTAAATTTGAATTACCCTTAAGGACTTTACCTAGACTATTACTTGTACCACATATCCTTGTTACCTATGGTTTGGGATGCATTGTGGATAGATGTTGCAGTGCTCAACATAAAATAATTGTTAAACATGACTAAAGGTATTATGCAATATGTTAAAATGGAGCTTTTTAGCAACATTTAGGGGGCTAGAGTACGGGGTTGTGTGCTCTAGTGCCTCTCCATAAGGACTTAATCCTGAAGCGGCCACCCAGGAGGTTTCGTACAACACCGAGTGTCATATAGCTCTGACTTTAACCTATTAACTAGATTGTACTAGCTTGTCTATAGCTTTCCGTAAGGGCAAGAGGGGGGCACTAGTTTGTATCTTTCCTTTCCTGCTAGGGTGTGTACCATGCCGCGACCACGCGTGCCACTCCTAGAGGAGGGCCACATACGGCTAGACGGCTGAAACCTTAGCAGCTACGACTTGTTAGTGCGACTAGCAAAGGGTTACGTAGTGAAACCCTGCCACACTTCCTAGGTAGAGGTGTTGTGGGCTTTGCAAACCCCGGCATTGGGAATCATAGCTCGGTGGGTAAAGTTGTACAATTTCTGCAGAAATATTTGACCTGTTATAACAGCCATGCTCATGAATACGAGCGATCTGGATCCTTCATGATTAGTGGTTACTATGGATGGTTGGGAATTGATATAATCTTGATTATACATTAATATCACTTGGGATTTGGGATTATTCACTAAAGTAGTGATTCAGGATGCTAAAACTTGAACAACTAAAATTGCGAACCGCAGTGAAACCGTGTCTAGCCTTTGAGCCTCATAGATCCCTTTGATATACTTGCTAAGCATGGTGAGCTTATACTTGCTTTACATTCAATGAAAATCCTAGATGGGTAACAGATAACGTGTATGAAGAGTTTCTAGAGGATGTCTAGGACTACTAGGATGATGTTCACTAGTTGGAGTCCCTATGGCAGTTTGGGTTTAGTTTTTCGCTGTGTGTAATAATGTTGCCAATGAGCAAGACTATGTATTAACAGTATGATGAGATATGCGATGTAATAATGTACTTTACTTTGATATTATTACAATTTGATGGTATATGTGTGTTTGGACATCCTGGGCGCACATATGAGTACTTGATTTTGCTATGCAAAATTGGGTGCGATAAATTGGTAGTAGAGCTATAACGGACTGTAGGACGATCAACCTAGTTAGAAATGGACGTTTTTAGGATCACATTATCTTTATTTTGCTACCTTTAATTTACTATAAAATTTTGCTTATATTCTGTCCTTTATCTATTGCAAAAATTATCTTATTCTAATACTCAACCTTTTCAATCTTATAGATGGCCCACACCAAGCTGACACCCCACAAGCGTACCATTGTGATGCCAACAAGGAGGACAAGGTTCACGCTTGGCAAGCGCATTCCTGCACATCTGGTGGAGGCTCTAAGGAGCATGGAAGAGGAACCGCCTGTGGAGGTGCCCATGGTGGAACCTCTAGAGGACATGATGGAGGATGAACCCATGGATGAAGAGACAGAAGAGGGGCCCATGTTTGAGGAGCCTATAGAGATAGAAGAATCTGAGAAGGAGCCTATGGAGGAAAATGGACAGGGTGGTCAGGATGGAGCTGATGACCCTGATGATGGTGATGATTCTGACAGTTCTGATTCTAATGATGGGGGTAATGATGGTGGTGATGGAGATGGTGGAGATGATGGTGGTGATGGTGATATAGATGGAGGAGACGGTGGAAATGATGGTGATGATGACCATGATGCACTGCTGGCTTAGGGGTGGACTGCGGAGATCCACTATGATTTGGAGGGCGATGCCTACTACCACCCTAAGCTTCTCTCACTTGTACGTCGCTACCACACCAGGTGCACTGTGCAGTACAGGACGGAGCATTGGACCCACCCTGACTACACCGGCTTCTAGGAGACAGAAGTGTACATTCGCAAAGGGTGTTGGGTGTGCTACATCCACCGCGCCATCACTGCACGCCTCACACGTGCAGCCGCCATCCGAGATGCTGCTCGATAGGCGTTGGTGGTCAACTACGACCGCCACTTCGACAACATTGCATGGGAGGAGGATCGTTATCTTCCCCACCGTCGAGAGCAGCCAGTCTACTTGCAACATTGCTGCACCACTTAGATAGGTGAACCCTAGGCTTAGGCCTACCTTGATGAGCTTGGCCCAGACCAACACCGACTTGGATCAAGTCTTGGATGAGCTAGATGTCATGGGGAAGGCATACCTATAGCTTGCCCGTGAGAATGCTACATTGAAGCAACATCAAGGAGGTCCCGATGTGGTAGCGCCAGGTGTTCCTGCTCAGTCGCCCCCATGGAACAGAGGAGAATTAGGAGACCCCAACACCAGCACCAACATCAACCCATAGGAGGATTTCCCAAAATATGTAATAAACACGCATAGATGTGCGAGAGTGTGTTCAATTTCTTTTTCTTTTAATGGTTGAACAATTGTCATTTGAATGGTTGGATGATTGTCATGATGAACAATGTTTGATTTGGATTTTTGACATGATTGTGATGACTTGTGGGCATGTCCATAGTTATTTAGTTAAGATTAAGGCTTAAGGATGATATGAATAAATAGTTGGGTTTCTTTATATCTTGCTGTCCATTCTGTAATATTCTAAGCAGTCCACCTTTATCAGTTCATATCTCATGTTCTAGATGTCCAATGGTCATGAAAATTTTATGGAGATAA